CCGCTTCGTCTGGCCACGGCTGCGCCCATGCCGCCACCTGCGCGCAAGAGAACCCCGAGGCAGACTGCAGACGTGACTAGCTTCGCTGTGGCCCCATTTGGAGCGACGATGTCAGAAGTATTGAAGGGGCCCTGGGACACACAACTAAATACACACTAATAAAAGGATTCCCCATAGTTGTCCATATTTCCTGGGTTTCTGGTTTCCCCCACTGCCTATAGTTTCCCATATTTTGGGGAGTCGACGATGATTCGTGTCTGTGTGTTTTTTCTCTTCCTGAAGTACGCCTGCTTCGTAAACGCACGGTCTTCGCCCACTTGGGTTCTGATCCGCCCGTGCGTCTGGGCCCTCGCAGCAAGACGGTCAAAGCCACAAAAAATAAAACTCTTGGCATACCATCCGAAGTAAGCGCAGCATCCTCGGCGAAGGCGGCATCAAAGCACACGCCGTCCGGCGGAGTCGGGCCGAGGTCGTTCGCCGAGTCGGCCCTGTGCAGCTGTCGCGAGAACGCACAGCATCACGATGAAGAGGCTTGGGCGGTGCCCGCGCCGACTGGGCGACTGCCGGAAGAACCGTGGCTCTCTGTCGTGTCCAACGTGCGATTGGTAGACATGCTCTCGATCATGTCGCAATAAGCCCGTGGGGTGCCGTACCGGGCAAAAGCAATTTGGAGGGCTGCGGGGTCGATCCTGTCAAACGCCTTCAGCCAGTCTAAGAGTGCAGCTGAAATTTGCCCGTCCTTGGACCGCGCGGTCCTTTCAGTAAGATGTCGCATCAATGGAACGCCTCTGCTTCCAAAAACCGACTTGCGTTTTCCTCAACTTCTCCTGCATCCCTCCAGTCGCTTTTCTGTTTAGAATGAGGCTCGCAAGTAGCTGTCGGACACGAGGGAGATTGGCTGGCAGTTCTGCGGCAATGACTCGTCGCCTTCTTTGAAAGGCCGTGACTACGCAGTGTTTCCACGATTGCGAATTGGACCAGCACTCCCCACACCTGTTGCATAGACCAAGAAAGCACTGACTCGCCACCCCATTGTGGCGTAGCGCCTTCCAGAAATCAAGAGGCACTCCATCTGGGCCCGCCGCATTGCCCGCTTCCAGTTCTGATAGGACTGTGGACAATTCCAACATGGAGAACTGGTCGTGGTTCAAAGCAATCGTGTCGTTCAGTTGGACCCCTTGCGGAAGCGGGCGGTCGCCGATGGGAGCTGCCCATTGCGCCTTCTCGAGGTAGATTGCCATCGTTTCCGCCCTCCTGTCGCTGTCGACCAGACGGCTGCCTTCGTCTCTAACGCGGCTTCGGCACCTGCGCCCCCTGCTTCGGAAGCGCTTCAAACTCTCCCCATCACCTGCAGCAAGCAATCGATCTCGCCACTCCCTCCTGTCGTTCTCCGCAAATGCTTTGACCTGCTTCAAAACAAGCTTCTCCAGCATGGACTGGCCGGCCCCCCGGGCATGATTGCGCAGCTCGATCAAGTCTACTGTCCAGGCCTGTATCCGTGGCCGGCTGGGGCGCGCAGCTGTGCGGAGGAGACTCACGATGGCGGCCTCGTGCTTGGACTGCTCGATGAGCGTCGCCATGCTCTCTGAGCTCTCTGGGGCGTCGCCCGCTGCAGTCCTGCCCTCTTGGGCGCCACCTTCGCGGGACACAAACTCCACGGCAAATTGGGCTGCCATGCTCGGCATTCGCAGGGAAGCCCGGGCCAAAGACGTCCCGTTCGTTCTTGGGGCTGCCTTGGCTATGCGAATGTCCAACACAACTGTAACCAAGGAGTCATGCGAGGCGAACCCGAGCCCGAGAAAAAGAGCCCCAATGCCCAGGAGAGCATGGTCGCACACTGGTGCGTGAACAAGCTCGTGCTCAGACCGTCTGGCCTCGTGGCCAGTGGCAGTGTGAAACTCGGAGTCCCGGCGAGGCGGGGACCAGAGAGGCCTGGCTGGGCCCGGCTTGTGCTCCGAGAACGGGGGGCGGCTTCCACGAAATGACCGACACCAGACACACTCGAGGTGCTCTTGGAGCCTCGGGCAGCGACCTGCGCGACGCAGGCGCCGCGCCCTTCGCGCGCCGCGCTGCGGGGCCAGAGCCCGGAGGCGCCATCCTCGGCCTGCGCCGGGGGTCGCCCGGCGCTCCCCGAAGGGGCGCCGTGGGGCACGCCCCTGTGGAGGGCGGCCAGCGGGCCCCCCCCGTCCTGGACGGCCTGGCCCCAGAGAAGCACGGCGTCGCCGTGGCACAGGGCAGGGCCAGACCTAATCAAGCGTGGCTGTTCGTTTCGTGTTCGTTTCGCTGTTCGCTGTGCTCTGCCCGTCTTCCTGCACCCCCCCGCCAGAGCGGACAACAAAACACGGCCGACGCCCAGCAAAACAGCGTTGAGGTCCAGCCCTGGCGCGGGGCCTGCGAGCCAAGATTCCCAAAAGCTGCAGACGAGCCGAGGCGAAGGCACACCGAGGCCCCGCCTCTTGACCTAATTGCAGAGACCTCAGCGGCGCCTCGCCAACGGTCTCGCCATCGAGCTCCACCAGCTCTCCTCCTCCGCCTCCGCCTCCGCCTCCGCCTCCTCCTCCTCCTCCTCCTCCTCCTCCGCCTCCTCCTCCTCCTCCTCCTCCTCCTCCTCCTCCTCCTCCTCCTCCTCCTCTGGCCACCCCAACCGAACCCGAAGACCCGAATTTCGGGCTTGGGGGGGAACGGGCTTCACATGTGTCTTTCAATGTTCCCTGACCCCCCCCTCCACTGGAGGTTGAGGGCAAATCGGGGCCTTCGGGTTGGGCTGGCGCGGTTTGGCGGGCGGTGATCCACGGAGCCCTGTCACGCACGCCCGCCAAAGCGCCGTCGCCTGCGGCCCCGCGCGATGCACCCAGCGTATATCGGCTGATTACTCCTCCTGGGCACCAACGCCTCCAGCACCTCCCAGCACCGCTGCAGCGGTCGGCGAGAAGGGTGGCGGTGCGCCCACGAGTGCCACAGGTGGCGCCCCGACCCAGACAACCCACCGCCCCTGCGCGAGAAAAGCTGAGCCCCTTTCAGGCCCGGTTCAGCCACTCCGCCAATTCCCGAGAAGAGGCTCTATATGGGAAAACCCAAAGGCACCGATACCGCTACTCCCCGGACCTCTGCCGGGGTGCGTTCTGCCCAGAATTTCGAGGCGAATCCAGCGGTGGCGGCGAGGGCCTCCCAGGAGGCTCAAAAAGGGGGAAACGGGAAAAGGCTAGAGGTATGGGTACCTTTTCCTCCTCCTCCTCCCCCTCCTCCTCCTCCTCCTCCTTCTCCTCCTCTTCCTCCTCCTCCTCCTCCTCCCCCTCCTCTGACTACTAGGCCACCTAATTTCGCGCATCGCGCCCCGCGGTGTGCGAGCCCCAGCCCTTGGAGAGGAGGGCAGCCGCCCCGCGCTATCTTCGCGCCCTCGCGCCCTCGCGCCAGCCCCTTGGAGAGGAGGGCAGCCGCCCTGGCACTGGCCGCGGCGCGCGAAGTGTGACTGACTCTTCGCGCCTCCGCCCGCGACCCATGCCACCTGGGCTATGAAGCAGGCCTTCCGACCCGCGAGGGCTCCTCCTCCTCCCCCTCCTCCTCCTCCTCCTCCTCCTCCTCCTCCTCCTCCTCTCCTCCTCATCCTTCTTATTATTAATAACATCATTAGTCTATGATTATTATTGTTGTTAGTGAAATGATTATTTTTTATGATTCCTCCTCCTCCTCCTCCTCCACCACCTCCTCCTCCTCCTCATCCTCCTCCTCCTTCTCCTCCTCCTCGGCTCCAGCGGGCTCGCGCGCGGAACCCTCAACGGACAAGTGGCCGCCGGGTCGGCCAGCCCGCCGCCAGCTGCCCCCTCGGGAGGGCCTCCGGAGCTCCTCCAAGCAGAGCCCGCGAGGGCCTCCGGGCAGCCTCCGAGGACGCCCCCCTGGGAAGCACCGAAGAGGTTCTCCGAAGGCGGACACGGCCGCGGCCGCGGCGGCGATGGCAACCCCAGCGTCGACGGCGGGTGAGGGGGGCAGGCTGGCCTCGAGCGCGGCGGCCCAACCGTCCAAGAAAGTTCGAGGCAAGCCTGCGGCGGAGCCCTTGTGCGCGCGGCCGAGCAGTTGGGCGCGCACACGGCGCCTGGAGCGCACAAGCGCTGCGCAACGCCGCGACCGCCAACCCCTCCGCGGCAAGGAGATGTGCGACAAGTTGGCGTAGGCAGGAAGCAGCGGGCCGCACGCACGAAGTGCAGCGCGGAAAGAAGGCGGGAGCGCGGCGCCCACAACAGCCGACAGAGCACTCGGGGACCGTGTGCGGGCTCTTCCGGGCCCCGTTCGTGCGCGTGCTGCTCTCCGTGCTGGTGCGGCGCGGCCCCCCCCCCCCCCACTCGGAGCAGAGCCAGTGGAGACAGCGGCGGTGAGGCGACGGCGACCCCACCGCCCGGCCCAAATCCGCGCAAGATGGGCCCCCAGACCCCTTCCGTGTCCAAAAGCAGAAGTTTCCCGAGATGCGTCCAGCCGCGGCGACGAGGGACCCCCCGAGGCGCCCCTTGTCTCATCTGGCCCTCCTCCGATCCCCCCCCGATGACCCTCAGAAAAAGCGCTACCGCCAACGTGTGCTTGTCCATCGGGTCCGACGCAGGCGGTGCTATGAGGGCTGGCACGGGCTGCATGCTGCCGGCGGAACTGAACGGGGCAAACACGCAACCCCCAGTCCCGCGGCCGTGCGTGCGGCAAGATTTGGCGGCGCGCAGAATCGGGATCCGCCGAAGGGGGGGTGACCCTGAGGGGGGCATGAATTCGATCCGCTGGTGTACCGAACTGCCGCAAACAGATGCCCCCCGCATGCCCCACCTATCCGCAACTCTCGGGAGCTGCCGGCGGCTGGGGGGCGTCTGTTTGGGGCGGTTCGGTGCAAAAACCGATCGAACTCTCTGACACACACACACACACACACTCACTCACTCACTCACTCACACACACACACACCGGGGCACACACACACACACCCTTTGCGGGATCCCGACCGAAGGCCGAAGGGCGCGCCGCGCCTCCACGACGGCAGGCGCCGCGTCGCCCTGCGCCTCCTCCGGCGCGGCCGCCGAGATGCCCCGCTTCAGCGGGCCCGAGGCGGCCTGGCGCAGCTCGCCGCTGGACCTCTCCCGGGTGCGCCGAGGACGGGGGGCCCCAGGAAGAGAGGCAGGTGGCAGGCGCACCATGGCCCGAGGCGCGTGCGCGCGGGGACGAGGGGACGAGGGGGGGGGGCCCAAGGGGGGCGCACCGAAAGAAGACGGCGACGATCTGCCAGACCACCCCGATTGCACCCGAAGGCCCGGATTTTCGGGCGGGAGGGGCGGGCGGGTTCCACGTGCGCTGTTCCGCTGCTCCCCGAGGCCCTCCCCCACCCCCCCCCCCCGGATACGGAGGGCGAAGCGGGGACTTCGGGTCGGGCTGGGGTGCTCTGGTGGGCGGTGAGAGAGGAAGGGAGGAGGAGGAGGAGGAGGAGGAGGAGGAGGAGGAGGAGGAGGAGGAGGAGGGAGGAGGAGGAGGAGAGGAGGAGGAGAGGAGGAGGAGGAGAGGAGGGGGGAGGAGGGAGGAGGAGGAGGAGGAGGAGGGAGGAGGAGGAGGGAGGAGGAGGAGGAGGAGGAGGAGGAGGAGGAGGAGGGGGGAGGAGGAGGGGGGAGGGGGGGGGAGGGCATGAAATCCGGCAGACGTCGTGGCCCCGGTCTCGATACATCTACCGTCGGACCTATAGGGCCAAAGAGCACCCGTCAAGGACGCGAGACCCTCCGCCAGCCCAAACGGAAGAGCATGCGAGGGCGCCCTCTCCCAGGCTGCACAGGAGCAATCCACAGACAAGATAAACTTTGGGGCACCCTCCCCGGACCGATCTCGATCTTATACCTCGGTCCGACTGTGCATCCCCCCAGGGCCTCCGCCCCCCCCCCCCTCCTGGACGCGCCCGACCCTCCGGAACGATTTACTCCAGTCCTGGCCCTGGCCGCTATGGGACGGGCCAAGGGCCCCAGGGCGAAGGGGGGGCGAGCAGCATCGGATCGGGAATCGGAGGAATCGGATCGAATCGGAGTGTGCGTCGGATCGAGCTGCCTTGGCACAGAATCGGCATCGAATCGAATCGAAACGGCGGGGGAAAGGGCGAGGGGAACCGTCAGGGTCGTGGATGCCATGGCAGTGGACACTCGAACAGTCCGACTATTGGGTGTAAAATGCGCATGTAATATTTAAAACAACTGTTTCATACATGTTTCAAACATGTGTCTGGCATTGCTTAAACATGTGTTCAACAGCTTTAAGGCATCTGGAAAGTATGAAACAACATGCCTCCTCTCCAACGATGGTCTTCCACACCGTTAAGGAGGAGGAGGAGGAGGAGGAGGAGGAGGAGGAGGAGGAGGAGGAGGAGGAGAAGAAAGAGGAGAAAGAGGAGGCGAGGGAGGAGGACGGAGAGGGCGGGGCAATGGGGAGGGAGGAGCGGAGGGTCTTGCGGTGCACTTCTGCGGCTGGGAGCTTTGACGGACGCTTTGACGGGCGCAGGGAGGGGGGGGGGGGGGGGGGGGGCTCGAAGCTTTGACGGACGCCCCGCCGCCAACAAATTCTTCTATGCTGGGAGCCTGCTCCGACCCGATGCCTTGGGCCTCTGGGCGGAGTGCTCGTTCTGCCCCCGACCAGCGCTCCTGGGCCCTGCCCGCCGAAAGGCCCTCGCAGTCGGCGCGGAGTTCTTGAGCGGAGGTGGCGGAGGTGGGAGGAGGAGGAGGAAAAGGAGGAGGAGGAGGAAGAGGAGGAGGAGGAAAAGAGGAGAAGCAGGAGGAGCTGGAGGAGGCGGCGGAGGAGGAGGAGGAGGAAGAGGACGAGGAGGAGGAGGACGAGGACGAGGACGAGGACGAGGGGGAGGAGGAGGAGGAGGAGGAGGAGGAGGAGGAGGAGGAGGAGGAGGAGGAGGAGGAGGAGGAGGAGGAGGACTGGGAGGACCGCGCAGATGCTCGGGAGGGTAGTGAGGGTCGAACTGATCGCCCAGCACTGCCGCCAGCCTATTGGGCAGTGCAATGCGCCACGGGCGCCCGACGAATCTGTCGCACGAGGCGAGCTTGCCGCACCAGGCACATCTAGCGCACCTGGTGCGCCGGGCACGTGGCGCTCTCAGTGCACTTGGTGCTCTCGTCGCGCCTGGCGCCCCTGGCACGCGCGGCGCGCTTGCCACGCGGCCACGCCCGCCCCCGCGAAGCCTGGGCACGGCCTCGGACATGGGCGGCGCGCCCACCTCAGCGCCCGCGAGCTCCTGGCCCTCGTCCGCGAGACAGCCTTGCAGCTAACCCGGGAAGGCCAGAAACTGCAGAACCAACGCCGCCGCCGCCATCCCCCGCGGATTCGCCTGGCGGCCCGCAGGAAAACTTGCGGCGCGCACGGGGGGAATGGGGGCGAGAGAGGAGACGGCGGCGGCGGGGGCGACGGCGGCAGAAGTGCGGGGAGGGGGGAGGAAGAAACATATAAAAAGCAGCAACAGGAGCAAGAGGAGGGAGGAGGGGCGGAGAGAGGGGTCGATCCTACGCACATGCAGCGACCAATCAATTGTCGTGCTTGCCGGAGGACGCCGCGGCATCAGCGGCTGAGGTCACAAACCACTGCGAAAGCGGACCGCCGCCACAAGCTAATGGAAGGCGCCAAGGAAATTCCCTTCCACAAGGCCCTACAGGGTGCGTCCCGCATCAAGCGCGGCAACCGCTCAGAGACGCTAGAGAACATGTTGGGGCATTATCAAGGGCACTCGAAGACACTAAAAGGCACTAAAAAGCATCAAGATACACGCCTGCATATTGAAAAAGAGCTTCCAGGATCGAGCACGCCGCGGTGGCGCAGGTCAACGACCAATTGCGAGACGTGCTGTGCCAAGCTCTGGATGGGTACCTCCGCCGCTCGCATGCGAACAACCCGGGAGAATGCTATGCTCACTGGGGAAACCAAAAGGTTCCGATACCGCTACCCCCAGGACCTCTCCCGGGGTGCGCTCTGACGAGAATTTCGAGGCGAATCCAGCGGTGGCGACGCGGGCCACCCAGGAGGCTCAAAAAGGGGAGGCAACGAGGCGAGGGTAGCGTTATGGGTACCTTCTCCTCCTTCGAAATCCGGGAGAGTGCATGTATGCTCACAGCGCCCGGGGTGAGGAAGCCCATGGCGGCACGGTGCTGAATCGCTCTGGCTGGTAGCTGCGGCGGCGGGTCCGGGGGGCCCCCGCGGCGCTGGGAAGAGGCCCAGAGGCGGGTCCGCGGGCCTGCGGCGCCGGGAGGAGGGCGTCGCCGCCGCGGTCTGCGCAGGGCTCGTGCGGGCTCTCGCAGCGAGCCGTCGCGGCCGAGACGAACGGTTGCGGAGGGCATCGAGATCACCATTGTCATCGTCGTCATTCTCATCACCATCAACATCAACATCGTCGTCAGCATGGTCAGCAGCACCATCACCACGGTCATCATCAACATGATGATCATCATGATGATCATCATCATCATCATCATCATCATCATCATCATCATCATCATCATCATCATCATCATCATCATCGTCATCAGCATCATCAGCATCATCATCATCATCATCATCATCATCATCATCATCATCAGCATCATCATCATATCTCCTCCTCCTCATCATCATCAGCAGCATCATCATCCTCATCCTCGTTCTCATTATCAGCATAGTCATCATCATCATCAACAACAGCATCATCACCACCACCATCACCATCACAATTACCATCGCCATCACCATCACCATCACCATCACACTCACCATCACAATAATCATCATCATCATCATCATCATCATCATCATCATCATCATCATAATCATCATCATCGTCATCATCATCATCGTCGTCATCACCACCAACACCACAACCACCACCACCATCAGCATGATCATCATCATAACCATCATCATCAGCATCGTCATCATCACCACAACCACCACCACCACCATCATCATCATCATCGTCATCATCATCATCATCATCCATCATCATCATCATCATCATCATCAGATTCAGCATCATCAGCATCATCATCCTCATCATCATCGTCATCCTCATCATCATCCTCATCATCATCATCATCATTATCATCATGATCATCATTATCAGCAGCAGCAGCAGCAGCAGCAGCATCATCATCATCATCATCATCATCATCATCATCATCATCATCGTGCTCCTCCTCCTCCTGGCTCATGACGGCTGGGCAGAACATCGTCTGTGGCTTCCGTCCTCCTCCTCCTCCTCCTCCTCCTCCTCCCTCCTCATCCCTTCCATCCCTCCCTCCCTTCCTCCCTTCCCCTCCTATTCTTCCCCATCCTCCTCCCTTCCCTCCCGCCCTCCCTCCTCGTTTCCCCTCCCATTCCTCCTCGTCCTTCCCACCCCCGCGGCGGACCCGGAGCGCGAGATGCCGCGCGCGATCCGTGCACGGTGCTGCGGCGGGGCCGCGTCTGGAACCGGCACGTGGGCGGGGGCCCACGATTCGACCTGCGCCGGGCTGGCTCCTCCTCCTTCTCCTCCTCCTCATCCTCCTCCTCGTCCTCTGCCTCATCATCACCATCAGTATCACAACCATCATCACCACAATTGTCATGATGGCCATCATCAGCAACAACAACATCATCATCAGCATTATCATCATCATCGTCATCATCACCACCATCATCAGCATCATCATAAGCATCATCAACAACATAATCATCATTACCATCATCAACATCATCAGCATCAGCGTCATCATCAGTAACAACATCATCAGCATCAGCATCGTCATCATCACGGTCATCAGCATCACCATCATCACCATCAAGATCATCGTCGTCAGCATCGTCGTCATCAGCGTCATCAGCGTCGTCAGCGTCATCAGCATAATCAACACCAGCATCATCATAGTCATCATCAGCAGCATCATCGTGTTCTTCCTTTCTTCCTTCCTTCCTGTCTTCCTTCGTTCCTGTATTCCCTCCTTCCTGCCGTCCGCCCTTCCTTCCTTTCTACCTTCCTCCCTTCCCATCTCCTCCTTTACCCCCCATCCAACTTCCCTCGAAAATGCTCCTTCACCATCTCCCTCCTCCGCCTCCTCCGCCTCCTCTTCCTCCTCCTCCTCCTCCTTCTCCTCCTCCTCCTCCATCCTCCTCCTCCATCGTCCTCCTCCATCGTCCTCCTCCATCCTCCTCCTCCTCCTCCTCCTCCTCCTCCTCCTCCTCCTCCTCCTCACAAGCTCGCGCTCCACCGCGCGCGAAGGAGCGCGTGCGGCGGGGGGCTGCAAGCCGGGTGCCCTTGCGCCACATCCGACATCCTACCCCCACACCCCACCCCACCACCCACCCGTTGCGTTGCTGTTGTGCCGAACCCTCTTACAGTCCACCCGTATAGTAAGGATGCGCGGTAAGGATGCAAGGACCTTGGACGCCCATTTCGACACTTTTCGAGCGGGGCGCGGCCAGCGAAAGCGGCGAAGGATGGACCGAGGAAGCAAGGATGCAAGGATACCCTTGGGAAGGTTGCCCATCCTTACTATTCGGGTTGACTGTATGTCCACCGATTGGGATGCACCAGAAAAAAATCCGACTGCAACAGGGCGGCCGCGGGACTTGACTTATCGTTTGCTGTACCAGTCGGCAAGGCAGAGGCGCTGTACATCTGGGGAGAGAGGCGAGAAGACGCAGAAGGAGGAGGAGGAGGAGGGGGAGGAGGAGGAGGAGGAGGAAGAGGAGGGGGAGAACGGGGAGGAGGGGGAGGAGGAGGAGGAGGAGGAGGAGGAGGAGGAGGAGGAGGAGACGGAGAAGGAGAAGGAGACGGAGAAGGAGAGGGAGGAGGAGGAGGAGGAAGACTAGGGGCAGGAGGAGCAGGGCGGGAGGACGGGGGGCAGGCGAGAGGGAGACGGGGGAACGGGGGTGACCGCAGCGACGGGAAGGACACCCGGACCCCAGGAGTGCGGCCCGCACGGGGGTCAGAGCGCGATCCCCCATGACGGGAGCAGTGCAAGCAAGGTTCGTGTCGTGCCGACTTCGGCGTCGGTTTATGACACCGCGGGGATCGTTCAAAACATTGAACGATGGGCCGCTTCCGAAACGTCCAAATCGTTCCACATCGAACGATTCTGGGTCGCCCGCGGCGCTCAAAGTTGAACGCCGTTGGTGGGGTCGCCGCCGTTCGACACGACACGAACCCACACCGCTCCTGACATTGTGGCCAACGCTACAACGGGAGCACCAGTTAGAATGACCGAAGACGACCCGCCTGGAACACACAGTAACACAAAACCACGCCTGGGGGGAACGAAGAATGCGCAATAAGTGCGTTGCCACGCCTTGGACGCGAAGGGAGAGATAACTAGAACTCAGACTGGTCAGTTGTAGAGGGGAAGGGGAGGGAGGATGAGGGGAGGGCGAGATGGAAGGGGTGGGAGGGAAGGGGAAATGGGCCTGGAGGGGAAGGATAGGAAGTGCGAGGGTGGGATGATGGGCCAATGATGGATGGGGGGGGGGTGAACGGAGGAAGGGTTAAGAGGGGAGGGAGGAAGAAGGAGGGAGGAGGGATGAACGAAGAGGTGGCATCCCCACGCGCACGAGCGCGTCGAGCCCAGTGGAGAGGAAGGGCAAGAACGAGCGGACAGTAACAGCACACACGGCTCGACGAGCGAGGCACCTCACGAGCGAACGAGCCTGACCGAACACGGGCAAGATAGCGAATGCAGAAGGGAGGGGAGGGATGGAGGCAATGATTGGGGGATGCAGGGGGATGGGGGGAAAACGAATGGAAGGGAAGAGCATGGACTTCAGGGAGAAAGGGCACAAGGGAAACCGGAGGCTGGGAGGGCAGGGAAGGAGTGCACATGAAGGAGAGCGGCGGAAAATACAGCACGCATTTCCCTCAAGACCGTTTGTTTCATTCGAGGAAACACGACAAACTGTACTTGGCTCGGGGCGGCCCAAACCAAGAAACGCCTGGACATGGTGTCGACGTCTACCGAGTGTGACCCAGCAACTTTGTCATACATAGTTGTTGGTGGATGGTCGCTGCACATACTTTGCATGATTGGGCTGTGCGCGTGGTGGTTCATGTCTTACGTGTGCACCTTAATCATATGGTGGCACATTCCTGGAGTTATGATGTTTGATCGCGTCATTGGTTACGGTGTGTTTGCACGTGCGAACACTAGAGTTGCATGTTGCCCACGTGTGCGGTCTCAACATTGATGTCAGCGGCGTGTGTCCCTGATACGTGTTACGGACGTGTGATACTGATGTATGCTGTTGATGTGCACACGTAGTTTTAAAGCATCAAGTACGGTCGCAATGACTGGTGTTCTTGTTTTCTGTCAGTAGTTCTTGATTACTGATGCGGACGTGCGTTGTCTGTACTTATGTGTATGCACATGGTGGCACTGGAGTTGCCTTACTGACAGAGCTCGGAATGTAGCCTGAGCGCGTGATAGGAATTGCCCCTGGTGTGTGTGAGTGTCGCTGATGTATGCTTCAAGGATGTGATGCTGGTAGTCTCTTGACTTCATGTGTTACACAAGCATGTTTGGTTATTTGCACCAAGTACGCGCTCTTGAAGCCAATTATTGATGCATGGCGTTGGCAGTTGGTTGTCAGACATGTGGCTCATCTATGAAAGTTGATGCATTGATGGCACGGGTGCGTGGTCGTGCTGGCGAATGTTGGTGCATCTTACTGGTGCGCGTTAGTGTTGCTGTCGGTCCTGTGTGGAGATGATTGATGGGCCCTCCTGGCGCATGGCAATGACGCCTTGTCGCGGTGAGTGCTGCTGGTGCCCGTCGTTGGTGGCGTTTGCACCTTTCTGCTCAGATTGCACCTTCTTCTTGTTTTTTCTTTTCCTCGGGCCCGGGGCCACTGCTTGTTTTTTGTCTATCGTTTATAGTCGAAGAATCCGCCACCCCGCACGGGGTAATGAGTGAAAGCGACAGCAAAATAGATGAACTCAATGATCGTCATACAAGAGGCGCCTGGCTCGCGACTTCTCCGCGCCCCTCTTGACCCAGCGGGGTGCGGATGATGAGACCAGCGAAGCGCGAGAGGCAACACACTATGATAGGCAAGGCCACTGGATGGCACACCTGGGAGCCGCGGCTGCGGGGACATAGGCGCGCGTCGCGCCGCGGGTGCCACTGGGGGAGCTTTAAAGGAGCGGCCCACAGTGGCCTGCAGAGGACTCCCCACACGGTGACGCGATCTCTTGCGGGCGCACGGACACGAGCTGGCGGGCGCACTGCGAAGGAGACGAGGCGTCGCCTCATTTTTACTTCCTGGAGACCGGACGCTTGCTCAAGGGGAGATGCGCAAGTCGGCGACGAACTGCGCGCCCAGGCAGCAGAGGAGGAGCGAACACGCGCTTTCGAGGTCAAGGAGAGGTTGGCACCCCCCTCGAGATGCGAGGGCTGATTGCGCGGAGGCAGAGGATCCTCTTACTGGGTGGGGATCGTCGCAAGATGGTTGGCCAGAACCGCAGAGGACATTGCGCCCCCCCTCCCCCAATCTGACCCTTGGCCCCCAGTCGACGCCGGTCGAACATCGCCGCGCCCACCTGTGGGTCTTGTGATATTCGCTGCGTGGCGCGGTGGTGAAGCGCCAAGTAGGGCCTGGCTGTTCGACAGAGAGGTGTATGTCCTCTTGCAGCTGGGCAAACACCACCTGGCCGCAGAACATACTGCGGGGAGAGTCCCCCTCATAATACGTCCTCCAAGTCTCGTGATTGACACAGAAGTTGGGACCACTTGGAGGCGCGGCGCGGCGGAATGATGGTGCCATGACCACTACCAAAACGTCGCTGGACCAGAAGAACCAAGCGAAACGTCGTAGCTCTCATGGGTCGCCGAGGTCTTAACTGGCCACCAAGTCAAAACTCTTGCCCGTCGTGAGTTGACAGCGCACGGCGATCTGCGAAGCGCGGGCTTCGCCTCCGCGCAGCTCGCAGATATCCACCCCTTGGCCCCGCGTCGAGACCACAGCGACGGCGCGCGTTCCAATTGGCGGCCTGGTAAACCGACATGAAATGCGCGGATCGGAGACCGGCCGCGGCCCAGGCCGCGAAGCTTTCGGCCAGGTGCCCATCGTCTGAGAGCACACTGGTCTGCGCAATGCGCACGTCCCGTGCCAGCTTTGCCAACTCTTCCACCGTGCCCAATCCTGACAGATCACCACCTATGTTACCGAAGGCGTCCTCGACGATCTACTGGCGCTCGGCGGGCGCGCGACCGCGCCTCTGGCACCCCCTGGCTCGCGCGGCTTCCGCGGGGAAGGCCGTCGAGGCCGCGGGGGCCATCGCCGGGAACGTGGTTTCGCCCGCCCAGTCGCAAGGCGTGGCATCGCGCGCCACAGCCCGAAGCTGCCAGTGGGAAGCGCTGGTGAGACGACTGCCCGGATGACGAGCTGGGCTCATGTGCGCGACTCGCGAGAGTGCCGGGCTTGCGGCTGGAGTCGGGCAATTGATTCTCGATGGCGCGACGGGGCCAGTTCGGGGCAAATCGTGCCATCGGGCCACGCTCCCCCGTCAGGATTTGAAGTCCAGCTGTCGGTTATTCCCCACATGCTGAGTGGGGTTCTGGTGTTCTTCCTTCCCGCGTCGCACCCGCGTC